CAAAAGTTAATTTTTGATGGAATATTCCCATTTTTCCAGTGTTTTCCTGGATTTTTTTCCCCTTCCCAAGCACGGGGCTGTTTTCTGTGGATTCTCCTCCACAGAATTTAATTTAATTTAATTTAATTTAATTCCAATTTAATTGTGTTAATTAGGATTAAAAATTCCAGGTTTCAATGCCCGGCTCTGGACACGTTTCCATCAGGGCAGCACCAGAATAAATAAATGAAATAATTTTTTAGGGAATTCCRGGAATTCCCMAAAAAAACCATTTCCATCGGGAGATTTTTCCCTTTTCCCGAATTTTCCATCCCGATTTTTCCTCTCCAGGTGATTCCYGGTTCAGATCCTCTCAACCCCAATCCCGAAAAGTGGAATTTTTTCCAATTTTGGATCTTTTGGGGTCAATTCCCAACGTTCTGATGGAGCCTTTTATTGGGAAGGGATTTGCAGTGAATTGAAGGGAATTAATGGGATTTTGGGAATTAGGAATTGCTGGGTGGGAGGGTGGGGATAGGATGGAATCAATGGGATGGGATGGGATCCATGGGATTTATGGGATGGGATTGATGGGATTGATGGGATGGGATAAATGGGATCAATGGGATCAGTGGGATGGGATTGATGGGATGGAATGGGATCCATGGGATGGGATCAATGGGATTTATGAGATTTATGGGATTTATGGGATGGAATCCATGGAATTTATGGGATGGGATTGATGGGATTGATGGGATGGGATCAATGGGATCAATGGGATCAATAGGATGGGATTGATAGGATTGATGGGATGGGATAGGATGGGATTTATGGGAGGGATCCCGATTCTCAGCCCAATTCTCAGCCCAATTCTCACCCCAATTCCCATCCCAATAAATCCCAAAAGCACCTGAGAGGAACCCGGGATTGAGAGCCGGGATTTGGGAATGGGGGGTGGGAGAAGGGATTTGGGAACGGGGATTTGGGAACGGGGATTTGGAAACAGGGAATGGGAGCCGGGATTTCGGAGTGGGGGGTGAGAATCAGGATTTCGGAACCAGGGATGGGAATTGGGATTTGGGAGAAAGAATTTGGGAATGGGGAATGGGAGCCGGGATTTGGGAGAAGGGATTTGCAAGTCAGGGGTGAAAATCAGGATTTGAGAACCCGGGATGGGACTTGAGATTTGGGAATTGGGATTTGGGAGAAGGGAATGGGAATTGGAATTTGGGATTTGGGAACAGGGAACAGGGAATTGGAGCAGGAATTTGGGAGAAGGGATTTGGGAACCAGGGATGGGAATTGGAATTTGGGATTTGGGAATAAGGAAGGGAGCCAGGATTTGGGAGAAAGGATTTGGGAATTGGGATTTGGGAACGGTGATGATCCCAATTCTCCGCACCCCGTAACCCCACACGTGGATCCTCTCACCCCAAACCCCTCTCCAAACCCCATTCCCATCGGGATCCGTGCCCGGCCCCACTCTCACCCATTTTTTCCGAGGTTTTCCCTGTCCCGGGACACGCCCGGGCTGTGACCGCGCAGTCCCGGTCACGCTCCCGATCCCAAATCAGGCCACGGGCCGCTGCCCGCGCTAATGGCCCCAATTTGCAGATTTTGGGAAGGTTCATTGCCTTCAATCCCGCTCTTCACACCCCGGAGGCTCCCTGGGGCGGCTCGACCTCTCCCATCCGGAATTGGAG